CAAACTTGTAGCAGGTCTAAAGGAAACTTTTTAATAGGAAAAAGAAGAAATAAAAATAACTTATTAGTCTGTTGTAATGACATCACCATTAAACCATTAAAGAGTTCAAATTATATTTTAGTGGTAGATTAAAAAATGTTTCAAAATTCAGTGACTGAAGTCCATTTCTCCAGCATCTTCTTCACCAAAACTTCTCCATCAAACCAGGAAATAAAGTTTGCTTGGTCAGATTACGAGTTTAAATCACCTTTTCATCCACAAGATGGCGACACAGAACAACAAAACACAAGTTTCCTGCACAGCAAGGACAGAAACAACAGAACGAAGGAATATGAGAGAAATAATATTATTATTAATTATTAATATGTTATGAATATTGTCATTATTAATAGAATGATAACACAATATTAGTACATGAATACTAATACTGTCTCCTCACCTAAACAGAAGAATTAGTATAGTTGAACTCAGCAGGTGGGGGAAGCTCGGTTGTGCTGACTCAGCACAAAAGAAAAAAAAAAATGACAACAAACAAAAATTTCTATTGAGAGCTGAAGTCGATTTTCTTTGCACACAGGCCAGCTGTGAGCAAGCCTGTGCTTACGCTCCTCTGAAGTTTACTGGTCTTTGTGGATTTGCACAGCTGAATTCAACAAGATGTCAGCAGATGTTTTATGGGATATCTTAGCTTTCCCACACTGGCACTAAAGTGCTCATATTGTATTTATACTAGCCTGTACCCAGCTGCCATAATGGTGGACTCTAAGAATCTCATCATCATCAGCTTGAATCCAAAGTTTAAATGAAGCTGTGTCACTCTAACCGAACTCTGACCATGAACACCACAACCACCAAGCACCAAGCCAACAGTGTTTTACTATAAATTTAAAGGAAAGCTAACCTATTGATCCCACACTCACCTGACCTGTATTTTCATGCAATCTTCAATACAGTTTGTTTTGAAGGATGTTTCACAACATGAAAAAAAACACAGCTTTCTATACAATGTCAGATTTAAAAATCAGGACGTTACGTGTAAGCATTAAATTTCCAGTTTATCAAATACCAATGAGCATTCTTCCTCTCCTGTCCTGTTTTACTTCTTCCCAGGAAATACAGCAGCTGTACCTTTTACTAGCTTCAGTATTTTTGTTTGTTCAGCTGTTTGTTCAGCTGTTTGTTCAGCTGTTTGTTCAGCTGAGGGTTAACATATACAGATATTTTCAAACTTCATGTTTGAGGAGTTCTGAGTGCTGTAGAGACAAACAAATCTTCAAAGCAAAAAATGTTCATCAAAAATCTTTTAAGATTTTAAGTTACTCGATTAATTGCTTCAGTCCTTTACTGTAATAAGCAGTGCTATATAAAT